CCACCCCGCCCCCAAATTGCTGCTCCTTAGAGCCTGGGTTGTGTCTTATCCCACTCCTGGACTCCTCACCGTTCCTTGCACGTTGTAAGCACTTGATAAACGTTTGAGTGAATCCCCACTTCCACCCGGCCCTTGAGAAGTCAATCTCATGCTTATCAATTGATTTTCCAGGTCCTAGGTATGAGGGCGCAGGCTCTTTGTGTTTCAAGAAAGAGCAGATGGCAGGCTATGTTTCAGGTCTGAGCAAGTGCTAGAAGCTTATCTACTTTCTTAACTTTCCGGTCATTTCCATCCCCCATTCCCCTGCCCCCCCCCCCACACACACACATGCTAGATAATTGTCCCCAGAGCTACCACCTGAATCATCCCTAAGAGCTGCCACTGCAGTAGCTGACAAGGATGATAGCCCCATCCCCTGTGGGTACCCCCCTTGCTGGGCCAAGTGCAGCCTGGGCCATTGCTGCCATGCCCTTGGGACAGGGCTACCTGGGTCAGGGAAACTTATCCCCTCCTGGGCGGTGGCAGGGGAGCCTGACTCAGTTCAGCTTCTCAGTGTTCACAGTGAGTGTCCCTGCTGTGCACGGGCACTGTGCGGAAGCCGGGCTGGGGAGGGCAGTTCTGAACCCACCGAGGTTTCAGGATGCTCTGCCCATTTTCAAGAGATGGATCCTGAACCACTGTGACACAGGAGGGAGGCAGGCTCAGAGTGGCAGACAGAGGAGTGGCAGCAGCTGTGAGATGGCAGAACCACAAACCACCTGTCCTGTGGTTGATGGCAAGAGGGGCTGACTCAGCTGGAGCAACTCCGCTGGGGTGGAGGGGTGAGGGGTGAAGGAGGAAGCTGCTTTGATCCCTCCTACAGTTTCAGCGTGGAGCAGAAGGAGGTGGCAGGGGCTTCCACAGAAAATGACCCAGAAATGGAAATGAAACTGACCAAGGAAAGAATAGACTTTACCAGCCCAGCAAATGGTTAGCAATTTTGGCAATACTCAAATAACAATAAAAACAATACGTCTATAAAAGCAAGAAGACACTGGAATTGGCCGGGGTAATAACCCACTTCTAAAATTAAAGTAAAATAAATCGACTGGTCTCCATAGGACTCGGTAACCTATTTGCCACCCATCACCTATGATTTCTAGTTTACTATGTGTTGGGCCTCAAGCAGAGAAGGCTTCCGCAGAGGATTTTGCTGGTGGGGAGAAATATGCCCAAGAAAATGAAAGGCTTTGGGTCCCAGTCTCAGCTCTGCCTTTCTAAGCCTCAGTTTTCCTATCTGTAATATGGGGATGAAAAACCCTTTCTCCTAGGGTGACTATAAGCACTAAGGGAAACAGTGTATGCAAAAGACTCAGCAAGGGGCTTGGCTGCTCTTCTCACTGTGGCAGTGGTGAGAGGCGAGGGCCACCTGTGGAGGTCACAAGCAGCCCCAGGCTGGTGACAAGAGCCTAGGAGGCTCCAGGGGGACAAGGCCTCTGCAGGGCAGACTCCACGAGTGCCCTTTCCTAGAGACAGAGGCTGGGTCCTGAGAGTTGCCTGGAACCTCCCACGTGTCCCAGGTCTGCCCACGGGCCAGTAGCCCAGTGCAACGGCCCTCGTCCGGAGTTGTACTTACGGATTAAAAACAGGAGAGGTCTGGGGATACAGGAAGCAAAGAAACGCTTGCAGTGCATGACAAAGGGGTCCTCAGGAGCCTTTTGGGAGTCCACCGGGGTGCCGAAGGCGACACTGGCCACCACATCTGTGCTGTAGCAGCTGTAGCACCTATGGGAGACAGAGCCATTTGAATCTTGAAAGGACTTCACAGTTGGCCCACCCTCATACACACTCCTGCAGAGACAATGCCCTCATCCTCCTGCTTGACAGGGAGGCTTCCTGCGTATCTGAAATGAGGTGGTGGTGGTGGGGGGACCCCACTGGGCTTAGACCCTCTGAGCAGTGGCAGCAGGATATGGGAGGAGACATATTATAAAACACAACGTTTTATAAAGCTGATAATATAAAGCTGATCTAAACAAAGTTGGGGGAGGGGAGGTTTTGCATAGCCATGATCAACCAGAAACAGTCAAATACCAAAGACTGTGCTTTATATGTTCCTCCCCACAAAGGTGGGAAAACAGTTGACCCAAATCCTACGTGCATTACCCCAAAGCTGTGCAGAGTCCACCTAAGGCCAGAATATAATGGTCAGTTTATATAGAGCAAATTGTGACGGATGAATGAACAACCCAGTTGTCTGTTTGTATTAATTAGCTCTGTCCCCCAGTTCCTCTTAATGATTTTACAGTTTCCGTAAGCTCCACAAAACAAAACACCAGGGCTCTTCACAGTCAAATAAATACAAGACAAACTTTGGGACCGGCTTCATGAATATATTATTACAGAAAACACACATTGCACTTTAGAAACAAACAGCAGGAAACGGGTCTGGCCGTAGCTCCGGAAGAGTGAACTTCTTAAACTCTAGGAAAGCTGCACCCCCCCCTTCGCCCCCCAATGGCCAATTTAAATTAGAATGATCCTTTTTTTTGTTATCTCATCGAAGTAGTCTAGTTAAGTTATTTCTAAAAGGGCAAACCACTGAGTATTCCTATCCGTTTACAATTAAAATGTCTATTTTCGTGGCTTGATGTAGGCACACACTTAGTTCCTCTTCTTCATAAATTCTATAGCCAACATCTATTCCAATAAGGAATAGATGACATCTCCAGATGACTTCTTTTATCTTGACTGCTTTTATGGAAAACACTTCTACAATTGATTACGCACTTCCCTGCCATGGCACAAACAACAATTGGACTACTGAATGTCATTTCATCAGATCTGAATGGTTGAAGAGTTGAGGGTTTTAAGAGTTATTTCCTCTGGTTTTATAGCTCCTGTGCCCAATTTGTCTTTCACCAATTCATGCATCTCATGACCAGAGAGAACGTGTACGAGAGGATTTTGTTTACAATGTGGTAGCGTTTCAATGCTGGTGATGACTATGTTATTATTTTATTAGCAATGATAATAGGAATGAGGCAGTTTCTGGCTGATGGGCCACTCCCACCATACTCCTAATGTGTGGTAAGCCACACTGAGCTTAGGACAACTGGGAGAAAAGCAAGATCACCAGCCATTTAAATCTGGTGAGTGCCACTAAGTCATGGCTTCCAGGCAGAGGTGCACAAGCATTTTTCTTGGAGCAGAAATGCACGGACTTGTCTGAAGACCCTGTCCTTTCGGCCCATGCGTATCCTGCCCACTCCTAGGTCTGCAGAGGTCAGAGGGCGAGTCCACCCCCAAACCACTGCCCACTCAAGGCTCCATTCAACAGGCCCCACCTCCCCTGGACTTCGCTCACATTTGCTTCATATTTCATATGGGTTTCATTTCGACTTATTAGTCCACCCATCCTTTTACGAGCTTCTAGCATTTCCATAGTTTGCTGGTCCCGAGGTAATTGTCTAGCAATTATGTACTGTTACAAGAAGCAGCAATTGGAAAATGTGATTTCTCGTCTGTAATGTAGCCATGTAGCAAGCGCCCTTACCTCTGGATGTCAAACGCGTCCCCAGATTCTGCATAGTGGTTTAAATGAGCCAGGAGAAGGTCACAGGCTTGGCTGATTAGGGGAGTCACCTGGTAGCAGATAACAAAGGTGTAATTAGGACACCACGCAGGGAGCACACCTAAATTAGCTGCAGAGAAAGAGGTGATGTGGGGTACTTCCTGGGAAAGTGGACATTGTCTCGAAGGTAACTTTCATGCAGCTAAGATTCAAGAGGAAAGGCTAAAATTCACAAATATCACAAAATAACAATAGCTGTAAAAGTCTATTTCAGCTTAAGCAATCTTTTTTGAAGTAAAAAAGAAAGGGTTTAGAGTAAATACTGTGAAATAATTATGAAAGTGATCATTAAGTGCTTAGGTGGAAGTGAAGGTCTGTACTCGGATTTATGCCATTGGATTTGCATTAGAGAGTAGATAGACCACGATCGACGTGTACTATGTTTAGAATGGGTCCAAATCCATGTTTACTCGATTCCAATTATACTTTAGGTCTTCCACTGGCGTATAGAATCTTAGTAGTCAAAGGAACCTAAGTTGTCCATTTCAACTTCTTATTCAGTACAAAAGTCATTGTGAGAGCATTTCTGGTGGATGGTTATTTCTGCTTAAGTTGTTTAAACCTTTAAATACAAGGGAACCTTTGACTTCAAGAGGCCTCCTATGTCCACGTGGGACAGTTGCTGAATTTCTTTAATATTAAAATATTTTATGATGCAAAATTTCGAACACACACACACACACACACATGCACAAAGTGGTGTTACGAACATTTATGTAACTAATTATCCGGCTTAACAAGTTTAGATCTCATTTTTGGCTGCCCCCCACTTTGACCTCTACGGGCTGGCTTGAGTGGATGGAATTCTTGTGGAGCCTGACGGGACTCCACATGACCTTTCATTCTCTCCTGTATGTGTGCAAAACCAAACCAGAAATGTTAAGGGGAGCCATTTTAACCAGCATGTGTTCTAGAATAACATCATAGTTAAAGTAACACACTGTAATACATTGTTCTGAACATGTCTTACGGAAAACATATTTTGAAATGTTACCTCTGTTTGGATTTTACCTGTTTGACACTAGGATATAAGTTTCTGAGGACGGGGAAGACTTTTGTCTGTTCATTTTTGGGTCCTCAGCGTCTAGAACAGTGCCTGGCACATAAGTATTTGTTGAATGAATGAATGAATGAATGAGTTTTAATGATTACATAAGACCCTGTCTTTGCTTGTAAAGTCATGATGCATTGGGAAAAGTTCTACAATGTGATCTACTTGTTAGAAGGTATGTTGTTGTATTGACGCAAAACCTGACTCCCTCTGTAAACTCTTGCTGGTTTCATTTCTGTCCTCTTCCACGTGCCAGCTCCCCAAACACTCAGACAGCAGTTGCTGGTTCTTATCATCTCCTAGAGAAGCGTTCTGTTCCTTCAACTCCACTCTTTGTTTCCCTCTCTTGCTCTCTCTCAATCTCCTTCCATCCCCCTCTCCCTCTCTCTCACCTGAAAGGCAGCTCCATAAGTGGAACACAGCGTTTCAGTTACAATCACGTAAATCCTAAATAGACCATTTCTTTGCAACGTGAGTCGCAAAGCCAGGTTATGTTGACTTTTTTCAGAAGACACATAACACAGGCAAATATTGAGGTTCGGGTCAACCAAAGTCATGATGTCTTTCCCCATGAATCATCAAGTGCAGTTGATTTTTTGACCTTTCGGAGTCCATTCATTAGGACGGCTTTACATGTACTGTTACTTATGTTGCTGTAAAATGTTGTCCTGCCACATGTTCTGAGCAGAGCAATGTCTTAACTGCCCAGAAACATTCAGGTGGCTGGAGAAGTCTGGCAGAGTGGGGCAGACTGAGTGGCTGTTGGCTGAGGTGGAGGGACACATGGCTTTGTTGGACCCCTTGCTTCCCACACCTCCCTCCAAGCCAGCCCCATGTGCTCTGGGGTGTAAGGAAAGGACTGTGTCACCGGGGGTCCAGCTGCTGGCTGTGGGAGCCCTCTCTGAAGGAGTTGGTCCTGAGAAGCGGAGAGGTCATTCCTGAGGCACGAGAGTGAGCGAGCTGTGGTCTGCACTCAGAGCTGCGTGGGTTCCCAGGTCAGGCACAGTGGCCTGGGCAGCATCTGTGGGCAGCTGAGCAGAACACACCCACACACCCAGTGGAGAAAATGGCAGAGCATCTGAGACCCTCCCTCGTTGCCAAAACTCTTGGAGGGCATATTTGGAGAGGAAATCCTGAGAAAAGGGGTTTTCTGCTCATGAACCCATAAGGGCTTAGAGCACCGGGGTGTTTGTACTTGGTGTGGGTGGGCCAGGGGGTGTGCGCGTGCATTCAAATCCCATCTCTTGCATCATGGTTACTCCTTTTTGAAATTTGGCAAGTGTGCCTTCTAAACCTTCATTCAGCTTGTCAATATATACAGGACCAAACACAGAGCTTATGGCCCTCCACTAGACTACCACTTCAGGTCGCCGCAGGATTGGTCATGATCGCTGTTTCCAGCTCGTCGGCCAGCTGTGCATGAACCTAAGTGAATTTGTAGCCAAGCAGCATCTTATCCATAAGTGACCGGGGGTAGACATTGTTAAAGGTTTTGCCAAAACCAGAAATGTATTTTCCCCCATCTATCCATCCTGAAGTCCCCTCAAAAAAGAAATGAAGATGGCTATCCTGATTTACTCTTGGTAATTCTATGTGGCCTCTTCATGACTACTGAATTCTTTTCTGAATTCTCACAAGTCATCAATTTAATAACCCATCAGTACAAAGGTATGTGTAATGGGTCACTTATAATGGCTCCTGGGCTGTTACTCTCCAGAAATCTCAGACCACCTTAATGTTTGGTGAACTCAGTACCATCTAAGCTGCGTTTCTATGATTGGCTTCACTGGCAACAGTCCTTCCATTATTTTAATAAACTCAGTGGTACAGTGAACGCTGCTTTAATAAAATCCCATATACAAAAATGTCTTTTCGATTTATTTCCAAGGAATAGTAACACAGTAAAAAAAAAAGAAATACTGTTTAAAAGGAAGCCTCTTTAGAGATCAAGCTTGAAGCTTCCTGAATATACCCAAATGGGATACAACATACAATTTGATTTGCACACAATTCTTCAGAACACATGCCCTGTGTATAAAGAGGGGGTCCATCCATACTGAATCAGTCATCTGCCTGGACAGTGCAAAGGGGGGCAGACCAGCTGTCCACCATCAGTTCCTAGATTTGAGACTAGATTTCTTTGTTGCCGGCTGGCGTCGTTGTAATTTTCTACCACACTCTGCCTGCTGTCTTTCGAACTGAATGGATAATGACATTTTTATTTGGGTTAATGTGATACGAGATGGGGCATGTAATATCAAAAATGTGTTAAAAAGCAGTGCAGGGAAAATATTATAAGACCATAGAGCATGATCTGTACGTTGGCCAATAGCCATCCTTTCAGCTTTTCTTCCTTGCATTATACACAAGCAGTTACGGAATATTTACTCTTACGCGAGGTGCATACAAACAAAAGCTCTCTTTGATGGGTTTGCAAGCATCTTTATACAATCCACAAACCCTGCAGTTATTCCCCTAGATTTGCAGACAAGCAGGCATAGGTGGCTTGTGCAAACACACACGCGCAGATGAGCTCGGTGCTACCATCACGCACATCTTAATGAAGGACTCTCATTTGGATGTTACATTTCATCTTCGTGGCATAATGAGTGATTTCTAGGTTGTTGTTTTTTTCCCCCACTTTTTTCATAATGCGCATATGTTACACTTATAACCAGATAAAATATTATTATTGCCACTTGTCACCTGGAATATGGCTGCTGTCCTGCTTCTTGAGAACAATGACCATATCGTAAGTATCTTTGTAGTCTTAGAACCTTGTACAGTGCGTGGCAGAAAGGTGTATTAAATATTTTAGGCTTTTAAGGAATGGTTTTTCTCTTGGGGGTCACAGTCCAGCAGCCAAGCCTGCTGAGAAAGTTTCTCATTTTGTTTCTGTCACCTCTCAAATTGGTGTTCTTCATTATAGATGATGTTGAGTGTACAGCTGGTCAGCTATTTGGTAACTAGCACTAACTATCAAGGGTAAAGCACCATCCTCAACCTGGGAAGGAAATTCCCTAAGGGTGGAAGTCTGTGCTCACCTGGAGTTTGCTGTGTAATTAAAGTGCACAGTAAAAAACAAAAGAGGAATCTTTACCAACTATTGTCTGAGGAATTCTGAGTCAAGGTGTAGACAGAGGACAAAAGAATTCATTTGAGAAGGTGGAGAGGGCTTTATGAGTGGGCAAAAGAGACAACTTATGGGATAATGCTGCAGAAAGACTAAGAAATTCTCCTGCTTGAAGGCTTTCTTCTCTCCTAAAGGTAATCCCCAGAATTTCATCACTGGAGTTTTCTTCCTCAAGGCTAAGACACCAACCTTGTTGAATACACGTGGCCCTGGGCAGAGCAAGCACTTGAAGCCATGGCCAGTTATTAGGTTTCCTTTTATTGGCACTTTTTAGTTGTACGATCTAACCTCGCCAAATTTATTTCTTCATATGAAAAATGGGAACAACGGTAGCCCCCTGGAAGAGTCATGACCAAAAGAAGAAACCACATAGTTGTCAAAAGGTTTAGCACTAGAAGCCGGTGAGCGTTCCAAGCATGGTAGCCGTCCTCTTCAGGACGCCCACGCTTCCAGGCTGCTTTGGAGCCTGGCATCCTTCCCTCTTCTCTTATTCCTCAGACAACACCCCATTGGATCCCCCTCTTCTTACCTCACCACGTTACCATCACTTCCTTTCTTGCATCTGTCCCTTCATCTTTATTTCCCCAGGGACCACTCTGATTCACGTTTTGCCCCTTGTCACCTGGGATATGGCTGTCCTGCTTCGTGAGAACAAGGACCATATCTTAAGCATCTTTGTAGGCTTAGTACCTTGTACAGTGCCTGGCACATAGTTGCACTAATTTTTTTTTGTTTTTGAAAGAGCCTCCTTATCTCCTGTCTTTTTATTTTCCAATCCATCCTGTATATAGTCACCAGATCGGCATTCTAAAAATACTTATCTGAGC